CATGGCCGCAAAATGGCGCATCGCTGCCTCTGCGGTAATTAATGAAACCGAAACCTGTTGCGGTGGCTCTGTCATTTAAATGCTGCTTTGTGTTTTATCTTGACGATGAGTCGCAAACGGCTCCATCAATTTTTGCGTTTTCAATTTTCGTTTCTTTAGTTGAAACTACATGCATAAAAGAGTAACGTAAATTATTATAATTAAGTCACCTTTAAACGAGTTTTACTTTTCACAGAGGCGCGGGTGAATGTGGCAGGTGCCTATGGTTGCTTGCCTCAGTTTCCTGTCCAAGAAATTCATTCAGAAATTGAAGCTCCAGCCCCAAGGTTAGCGATTGAACGCCAAAGCGACGTCTGTGATTTATATTGATGTGGTGAGACAGACGAGAAAAAAATAAATGTGTTGATGCTGAGCTTTTTCATTTGCCTTCATTTCGAGGCGCTTGCTTTTTGGTGGGAACAAGTTTCGGAGCACACGAAATTTGTGTGGTAGCTAGGCGGATTAAGTTCATATTTTATGATACTTCTACAAGTATATTATAATGGCACGGGTGGGGGCATCAACAGCTTTATACTTTACTCTTATGATTGAACGCAGCTTCAGCGAATATTGAATATAACGAAGAGTCTGCAAAACTCTGTCGCTGGCAATATTTCTTCTACACATGTACGAGTATGGAGGTGCGAAATTATTAAATATATGTATGTACATATGCGCTTATTAAGCCAAACTTAAATTGTTGCTGCCTTCCTTTGCGACTAACATGGCATAAACAAGTACTTAGAAGACAAAGAAGACGAAGAAGACGAAGAAGAAGAAGAAGCAAAACAATAACTAAAGTCACTTGCAGTCGCAGACGCCTGCTTTGTAACTAACAACAACTTTACTTTGTGACATGACAAACAAAAGCTAACAAGCGGTGGCAGCAGCAGCCCAAAAACCACTTTAGACGAAGGCTCAGCCAGACCCTGCTCTAGAGATGAGCGATACTGCGATTTCAGAGTTGGGCTTTGGCTTAAAACATCTGTGACTAATAATAGGGATAAACATTTAAAATAAGTATGAAATCTCGATTAATTACAAGTATATCTCAGACAGAGCGAACACTAAAACTATTGAAGCTCAATTTTTAAATACAAGTAAAAACATCAATACACTAAATAGCTGTGGCGTCAAATATTTTGGAATAATAATAGGGAAGAATAAAAGCTGGTGATAAATATTTGTAACAAAACACAGACGACGAATTATCATGATGAATTAATGATTAAAAATGACAGTGACAAATTGTTGGTGGCAAAACATTTTGACAAAAATTATAGAAAAATTCAATGCTAAATATCTGTGAACATTATCCATCATCATTTTTGTCATGTTTAATTTTAAAAATAGAGAAAACTATGACGGAATAATTCGAAACATGAGATTGCAGAAATAAATCAGCGACTGTCGCCTCAAATGGCACATGATTTACAAGTAATATAACCTATTTATTTATACAAGTATGTAAGTACAGTTAGTAAGTATTGTTACTTCTGGAATAATTCGTGTTATCTAATAATATTATTCTGATATTTCATAACAGTTGTGACTTGTAAACAGTGAAATATTTGGCAGGAAGCCGCCGATTCGTAAACAAGGCTCATCTCTGGCCCACACACTAAGAATTGCCAGAGAGCAGGCCAAGGCAGCGAACAAAAACCAAAGCTGAAGATATGACCGTAGACTTTAGCCAAGTTGAGTGCAACGGTGGCAACAACAACAGCAACATCGAAGCGGAATTTGGCACGAAAGTTGCAACTTATGAAAGTGCACGCGTTACGATTTTTTCTGTTTTTTGTTTTTTTTTGTTTTCGTTGTTGTTTGTTAGCTTTTGTTCCTATGGCTATAGCTGTTATTGTTTTGCTGTGTGCGCTCCAAAAAAGAAAAGAAATAATTTTTGCCATTTTGTTTAAAGCGAAAAACTTTTTACTATGTATGCCAGGCAACTGGCGACTGGCAACTGGAAACTGGCAGCGGCAACGAGTGCACGACGCAAAGAGGCCACGACGAGGCAGGCAGTAAGTCAGCATTTTGAACTTTTGCTAACAATAAAAACTGTATGTGCAGCTTTATGCAGTGGCACACGCCCATTTAAAGCGAACGAAGGATGGAAAAAAAGAAATACAAAAAGCTGAAGGAGATGAGGCAGGATGGGCAGCAGAAGAGTGGGAGGCTGGGCTGTTTGGTCGAATATTAAAGCGGCCTGCGGGCAGGCAAGCAAACGCATTAAGCGCGTAAGCAAACGCATGAGCACACGCACACTCACACGCACACACACACACACACACACACACACAGACACATAAGTGCAGTGGCGACGAGTGGCGAGAGCTGCACGGCATTACTTTGGGGCATGCCACAGCCAGTCGCGTATAATTCGTAAGCTGCGAAACGTGTTTAAACACGCAAATACTTGCTTACAAAAAACAACAAATACAACGTGCATTTGCAAAATAACAAAAAACAAAACGAATAAAAGAAGAAGGCAACCGAATGGCGCACACACACATACATACATGTATGCACATATATATATATATATATATATATATATATATATATGAGTGTGCGTGTAAATACAGCAAGCAACAAACAATAAGCGCAAGTAGCGCAAGGAAACGGAAAGCCGTAGACGTGAGCAAAATCTGAGGAATAGGCAGGAGGTTGGCCATGGAGGCGGGCAGGGCGAGGCCAGAACAGGATAGACAGCCAGGCAGGAAGGAAACATGCGCTTGTATTGCATATGCCGTTTGCCATTCTCATTGTTGTTGCTGCTGCTGCTGCTGCTGCTGTTTTTGCCGCTAAAGTTATGACAGAAAATAGAAATATGCATTTATTTTTCATACTATAATATTTTATGCGTAATTCTGCTGTACAGCGCCAGACGCACAGACAAAACAAAAAACAATCGCAAGAAAATGCATAAAATTTTATAGCTAGACATTTCGTTGCACGGCAAGCAAAGAAACAAAAAGAACAGAAACAACAATGCGCATTACGCATACGCACGGTCTGACGCTGACGCCCATTCGTGTAAAGTAAATCAATTTTTATGGGCGTTCTTGCAGAAAAGAAAAACAAAAAACAAGCAACACACAAATGCGCTCGAGTGCGTACTAGTGTATGTGTGTGTGTGTGTGTGTGTGTTAGTGTCAAAATACAGAAGAAGAACGAGGGGAAGAGGGGAAGTGTGTGAGCTTAAAGGAGGTTTTGCAATTTGCCCTTCAGCGAATTGGAAAGTCCCAGCAGTTATCTACGAAACTAAGTCACAGATCGGACTTAGGTTCGAAATTGAAAAGCTTTGAAAATTCATTTTTAGAATCTTTTGCGAAGCCTTTCCCTTTGCACAGCATAGTCGCAAAAATGAATAGAAATATATTGTTTGTTTAATTTCAAATAAAATAAAATGATAAGCAATATTGATTCGAGTGAAAATTGTTTGCCATGCATAAATACTATGACGTGCAGGGTATATTGCAATGGAAAATGATAAAATAGAAACTGATAACTGACTAGACACTTTGTTCATTAAACACGTACATGTGTAGCTATTTATTTATCACAGTACAAAATAATTGATTCATTTTTTTTAATGCCATGCTTAATGCTATACTAACCGATTTTGTTGATTGCATTTTAAATTTTGCAAATCAAATGCTGCTGCTGGCTTGTGACATCATGCAAAACACCAAATTCAAAATGCATGCAAATTACTTTGACAGTTTCTATAAAGCGCGATGCGATCTTTTTCATTTAAATCAGCGTGTTTTTTATATGGTATACTATATGGGTTTTTATTAGCATTGCGTTTGTGGCGACAAAAAAGGAATAATTTAATGGGCGACAGCCAAATGAATCAATGAAATGCATAAATTAAATAACAAAACCACCAACTCTACATATACGACACATGGTTGTATATTTAAATAAATATACAAGTATTTATACTCGTATGTATAGTATTTATGTTTGTGTGTGGCGAAAAACAAAGGCATGGTATGCAATTTTTAAAAATAAGTTGAGCGCCAACTTCCAAGAACTGCAGTCAGACATTAACATTTGCTGGCCACGCCTTAAGGCGAGACTTACAGCATGTACAACAACAACTGAGCCAAGGGCTGGTCCAAAACGTGACTCGTTGACAACGGACGCGGGAAAAACTGTCTAAAAAGGGTAGCGCACAGGCCGCAACAGAAAATATGACGACGGCATCGACAACAACATCATTTGATGCCTTTTTTAATAATATGCAGTCGCCCTGTCGCATGCAAAACAGCTGCCAAATACACAGACACATTTGTGTATGCTTGAAAGCCTTTGATCATTCATTGCATTCAAATTCATTTGAAATCAATTTTCGTTTCAAATTTAATTTCATTAAACTCACTTCAAGGGAACTCATAATTTTTCTGGACCTTCGCGCACGCCTACGCGAATTTATACATTTAACAATTGCATTTGCATTTTATAAATAATTTATTAGCACGAAAATATGTTCTTATCTGAGAACGACAGGCCGAAATACCCGCACGCCTCCACCGACCGCTTCTGATTGCCTAATTTGCATACATAAAAAAGTTGCAATTCGTACAGTCGAAATTCCATATAAATGCTGCAGTCTTCATAATTCGCCTTCAGAAGAAAGGATATTATTTGTACATAATCAATATCCTAGAATATCCACACAACTGCAGACCTGTGTAAGTACCATAGCAGAGTCTATAGTTGCGCCTACTTTATGAATTGTATGAATAATTTCGAGTACTTCTAGTATTGGGTATAAAATAGACTTTGCATATTGTCAGTCTGCTGTTAATTTAATGTGATTAACTGAATGTTTGAGTTGTGATTTTTTAGTTATAATTGAATTGTTTTTCAGTTCTGCTCACAATAATAATTTTAACACAGTTCCACTGTAGATGAAATAAAGTTTGTGGAACATTTGGCATTTTACTTACTTTGGAATAGGCTTGCTGTCGACTCGAGGATGCCTCGCAAGCTGTTCGTATGATGATGCAGTAGGCGCTCAAACTCTCCGGTCGCCTTGTGGCGCAGCTCCAGTTCTGTGGCATTGTTGCAGCAACTGCCTCCGCAAACGGCGCCTGCAAGTAGACAATGAAGTTGCAACGTTAGCAAAAGTAGGTAACAGTCATAATTACAATAATACGGCTACAGATGTATGTGTGTGTTTGTATGTAAGTGTGTGTGCCTGGGCGGCTGGCTGGCCTATCATTTTCAAATTATCGCACAAGTCAAACAATTCGCTGGGTTGTTTGTCTCCTCGTGCATTTAATTGTTTTGTGGTTGGAAAAAATGTCGGTTTATGGCTTCAGTCAGATGTGGCTTGTGTGGGTGTGTAAACCACAGCAATAGCAATAGCAACAACAACAACAACAATAGCAAATCAAATATTGCTTAACAGCAAAAGCATAAAAAACAGTTGTTGTTGTTGTTGTTGCTTTACTATTGTGGCTGCTGCTGCTGCGCACTGACTGGGTGGTAGCCAACGTCAAAAGCAGCGCGTGGGTTTCTAATTTATTTTTTATACAAGTATCTCGCTTTTATATTCTATATATTTTTGGCTGTGTAGTTTTTTGTTGCTTCGCCCGAAACTACTTTTTTGTTGTTGTTCATTTTTTTATCATTTGGAAGCGCGTTAATAACTTTTAAATTGCTCGTAATTGCAAAATTTGTTATGCGCTCCACTCCATACCGATGACTTCCGACCACTCTGACTGATTCCCTGCGACTTGCTGTGTGCGTTGGCGGACCTCACAAATTACAAAAACGGCAGAAATGAGAGGAAGAAAGAAGCTCGCCCATAAAATTCACAGCATGTTACAAAGTGCTTACAATTTGTGCTCGGCAGCCATTTAAAATGATTGTTTTCTGCTGCCGTTCTGTCTATTAAATAATGTGAAATAAAGGCGACCGCTTTGGCATTTAGTGACCGTCAAGTGGAACGCTTTATGCTCTTCTCTGAGGTGTTGTTGTTGCTGTTGGTGCTATCGTAATTGTTGTTGGGGCTACTAATGACAAAAACAGAGTAGTAGCTGCCCAAAACTGGGCTAAAGTTGTTGAAAAGCATTTAAATTAACGACGACTCTTTTTAAGTTGCTAAACGTTGTGACCCAGTAAAGAAAAAGTATTTTCATACAAATAGATTTTAGGAGTAAGACAAAGACGAAAAAGAGCACAAATTTTAGTTAATTGTATTCCACGATTCCCTCGGGTGCATTATCTAATTAGTTAAACTTTCAATTACAATTTGTGTACTCCAGAAATTAAAATCTGCCATATTAGGAACAAAATTAAATAATTTATTTAAAAATAAATAAGCAAGTTAGTCTCCAAATAATACAGAAATTCAATATATTCATGTTCGAAATATTCAATAAAACTTAAGAGTGTGTCAGATTATTGTTTTTGTTATTGATAAAATAAAAGTTGAAATGAGATTATAAATGTTATTTCGACCTTTCTTACCAACCGATGTATCTTCTGTATTAAAAGCTAATGATATCTCTAAATAACACGGAGTTTCAACACATATTTGATACGCTCGAAATATTTAAAAATACTTAAGAGTGTTTCAGATTATTCTTTTTGCTGGAAGAATATTTTAAAAATTGTTTAATCTTTCATAAAACAAAGTTTGAGATAACATTTTAAGTGTAAGTGCGACCTTTCTTACCAACCGATGTATCTTCTGTATTAAAAGCTAATGATGACTCTTAAGCATCCGCTGATAGAAACAGCAGATTACAATACACCTGGTTCGGTTGGATGCTGGCTTCATAATCTAATCAATGCTGGCATAAAGTCTTAATTAATTCACATGCTAAGCCCTCGAATGCCAACCTCGGCAAACACCCACTGTATTACAGAGCAGCCCTATTAAGTAGCGCAGTGCCTGACAACAAAAGCAACAAACAGAACACAGTCAGTCCATAAATTTGTGAAACAGCACTACATTCGTGTATGCATGTTTTGATAGTTCGTTGGTGGCATCAACATCTGCGATATTTGCGTACATAGGCGAGCGCGGGGGCGTGGGCTTCTGACATAAATTTATAAACAAAGCGTGTGACAAGCTTTTCATGACAAATGCATTGGCAACTATAGCAACAAAAATGACTACAGCAGCCGCTTAAGCAATCGACTTTTATGGTTTACGCTATAAATGTCTCTCATATACACATACATACTCGCCTGTGCGTCGCATAGTTTCGCCTTTTTTGTTTTTATAGTTAATAATTTAAATTAATGACTTTTACACGATGTTTATGTGTCGCTGTCCACTCGTCAGTGTCCGTCGGTCCATGGCGTCGATTTGAGTTACGCGACTACCTCTCCTACGCACGATCGGACCGAAGAAGAGCGATGCGAGTTCGATGTGAGTATCTCGAAGTGGCCCAGACCAAACATACTTGTAATGTAGACGTCATTAAATTTATAAAATTAATTGAGTGCGAAGGGAAGAAGGTGCGCCACACGGCGATAATAAGTTCTAAATACACTCAGACAATTAAAGCCATTAACCGCCATTACGATAAATGGGTAATTTCATGATTTCGGCCCGAGTGCTTGGCCGATAAGATGGCATTGCATTGTCTGAAGTGCATTGAATTTTTCGTAAAGTGAACAGAGATTGGCCTTTGCCTTTTTATCAACAGTTTATCAACAGTGTTTAGTGCTTTAAATACTTATGCACTTGGAGTTCTGTTTGACGCCGTTTAAATTATCAATTAATTCCTTAATTAATCAGCGAATCACTCACTCACAACTTGCCTTACAGATTTAGTTTACTAAGCCCCTTCATTATGCTTAGCTTTCTTAAATTATGAAATTGTACAATATTTTGTATATTCCCATACTAGCCTTTTGAGCATACATGTACAGACATAAGTATATTAGAAAGTATCTCTACATTTGAATTTAGACAAATGTATAGTTTATGGTTACAATATAAAAGCAGTAACATATTGAATTTAAACTAAAATTAACATCTAATAGATAGATAACTACTATAAACTGCTAATTTCATAAGTGTCATCACTTTATAACATACTTCGGTGCGCAAATATATATATGTTTGTACAAACTAATACACAATTCATAGGCATAAATACTATATGTCGGCGAATGATGTAGAGACGCTGATTTGGTGCGACAATCGGCAGCTATTTTCAGTTTCATGGCAATGTCAATAGCGCATTGAACTTGTGGCACGATGCGCTGTCAAAGTGGAGCTAGGCAGGACGGTAGTGGGGTAGGGGGGGGGGGGGCAGTGGCCTACGAGTATGGGAATAGGCGAGCTTTGTTACGGCTGCTGGCTCATCGGTTACTGCGGTGTGAGCTAATATATGAGCAAATGCACCGAAAGTGGCAGCCAGATGCCATAATGCATTCGACTAATTGTGAATTGCATATGCTGTTGAAACAAGGAGGCCGTGTGGCAAATGGGTAAATGCATGAGCACAGCAACAAAAACAAAAGCAGCCAACACTTAGCGGCGCCGTTAACGGCAACAACAATCACGACGATGGCGATGACAGTGTAGCCCTGACACATATTTTCATGCCATGCATTGAAAATTTGAAAAAAAAAAACTGAAAAACTGCGAACTTAAAATACAAAATGAAATGGAAAACTGTTACAGCGCAAACCACAAGAGTACAAGAACAGCTTCAGTCAAATTTGAAAATTGCCCAACAAGGCCAACACACAAGCAGGCATGTGCCCTCCCATATGAGTGTGAGTGTGTGTGTGTGTGTGTGTGTGTGTGTGAGCGCAGCTTAGCCCGCGAGCGAATATAAAATAGCAAAAGTTTTCTATTCGCTTGCGTATGTAAAGTAAATTCATACATACATACACAGTCCCTAGAGATGGCAGCGTGAAAAGGGCTTGAAAAGTGATCATTTAGATTCTATTAGATGAGGAAGGTCATCAAATGGGCCTCGTAATTTTAGAAAGATTATTACACTTTATTCGAAAACTGTTTGTGGGCGATATCTGACAATACCTAGAAAGAGTCCATCAGTTACTATGGAAAATAGGGAAGAATATATAAATGAAAAACTATCTTGATTTTCAACAAATGTACTTTTATTTTTAGCTAATTTAAGAAAGCTATAACAGCATTTATATGAAGCTTTTAAAATGTGCAAAATTTTATTGAAAATCTAGTTGTTTTTAATTTAAATTTTTCAATACCTATGTATGCTATCTAAAAAATAAATTATAGTTCAGTTTAGTTTTCACGAAGTCGAAGTACCACCTCTAACTTTTCAGCCTTTTTAGCTACTTTGAAAATAATGCAAAGTTGTATCTCTTTCAGAGAGTCAAGTCTATTTATGTGCATCATTAAAGGTAAATGCTTTACTTGAAACTCTGCATACCTAAGTACATCAGTTTTTTATGAGTGAGCTCAGGAGAGAACAAGAGAATTTGTATTAAATGAATGAATATACACTATTATGTCGGGAAAAGATGTGGAGTCTTAGACTCAAAGCTTCTGCTCCCTTGAATTAGTTTGTCAAATATTTCCTTGAAGGTAGCTTTCTCATTTCTTTCTTTTACGTTTTTTAATAATTCACTTTTTGCATGGCCTGTCATGATGTCATGATGTCTGAAGTACGAGTATCTGTAGCAAAGAGCATGACCGCATTGTGCCAGGCTGCATGTGGCAGGCACTCGTCAGCGTTGACACTTGCAGAACTATCACAGAAACGAGAGTAGGCAACAGTTGGGTGTTTGTGTGTGTTGCGGCTGCTGACCAAGTTATTTTTTGGAGTAATTGCTTTGGCCACGTCACGATGGACTTGAATTCTAGATTTTAGGCTGGCATTGAATGAAGTCGACAGCCTTAAAGTCAGACCTCAAAACACATACACTGGCGTGCCTATGCGCCTTGTGAATTATTTCGTAAGCGTTTGTGCACAAATGCCATAAATCGCACACATTCATGCAAACACATTCTCTTTCACATACGAGTATGCGGCAGGCAATGGCATCAGGCCAAAATGCACCCAAGCAGGAAGGCGCCTGTACGTCTGGGGGCTAAAAAATAGAAAAAAAAAATGATAATACTAGAGATGCG